AGGCGGTATTTGAGCTCAGGTCTTCCTGTCTCCAGTCCCAGTGCCTTGTCTACTGTGTCATGTAGCTGCCCAAGGGAAGGGAACATGGATGAGGATCTAGCAAAGGAAACTGGGAAGGAGCTACCCAGAGAGTAGGAGGACAGCAAGCAAAGAACAGTGTCATAAAAACCCAGAGAGGAGATACTACTGAAAAAGGGTGAGCAACAGTGTCAAATCTGCAACAAGGTTAAGAAGGATTAGGCCTAAGAAGAATGCTTAACACTTAAGAGGTCAGAGGTCATTGCTGAAGTCTGGCATCACAACTATACAACTGGCAAAGGTGACAAAAGAGGACAGTGATAAATGTTGGAGGGGATGTGGGAAAACAGGCACATTAGTGCACTGTTAGTTGAGCCGTGAAACAGGTCTGCCATTCTTGAAATTTGGTGGGAACAATGTCCAGAAAGTTGCCAAACTCTGCATACCCTTTGATCCAGCTCTGCTAGATCTGCACTCCAAAGAAATCAAATATATTTATAGGAGCTCTTTTCATAGTAGTTCCGAACTGGAAACTAAGGGGTTCACTTCCTATTGGGGAATGCCTAAACAAATTGTGGTATGTAAATAGAACAGAATGTTATTGTGCCATAACAAATGATGAAACAGACAATTTATGAACTGATGCAGAACAAAAGAGCAGAAACCAGAAATAAATCAATGTAATTATAGAGAAAAATGATTTTAGACTTCAAAATTCTGATTGACACAATGATCAACCCAAGTCCAAAAAAAAAAAAATGAAGATGAAACATACCACTCACCTCCTGACAGAAGGGCTGAACTTAAAATGTAAAAAGAGATGTACATTTTTGGAGAGTGGCTAATAGGAGAATTTGTTTTGCCAGACTATTTAGTATATATTGAAGGATTTCTTTTGCTTTGTTTTTAATTTGATCAACTGGGGAAGGTGGTTAATGAGAGGAAAAGATACATTAAAAATGTTGGTTACTTGAAAAATAAAAATTAAAAAAATTTTAAACAATAGAAAAATCAGTTTTAGGTCTAAAGCAAGACTGCAATGGGTTGAGGAGTTAGAGGAGAAAGTAAAGACAAGATGCATAAAGATGTATAGGCAGCTTTTCTTTGAAAGCTTCCCTGAACAATCAGCAGTTTAATTGCTTAATAGATGCCAAAAACTGAAAATACAAAGCCACTGCCTTAGGAAGTTTACATGCTGAGAGAGAAATGACATCTCTGCTTAGCATGTGTAGATAATGCATATAAAAGGAATACCAAGGGATTCTGGGAGGGAGGGAGTACACTAACAGCTGGGAGGGCCAGAAAAGGCTTCATGTTATGGTGGCACAAGCTGAGTCTTGAAAAAAACACAAGACTTTGAAGAGGTGGTGATTAAAAAAAGAGAGAGAGAGGCATTCTGGACACAGGACAGTTGGTGCAAAGGTATGGAGATAGGAAATGGTGTCATGTGTTGAAGAGTAGAGGAGGATAGTATGACTAGAGCTCAGTGCTAGGAAGGAAATAATGTATAAGAAGACAGGAAAGGTAAGAAAGGGTCAGGATATAATGAGATTTTTTTTAAATGTCAAAGAGGAGAGTTTATATTTGATTCTGGAAGCAATATGGAGCCACCAGAGTTTATTAAACAGTGGCAAGATACTCAGATTTGCATTTTGGGGGTTTTCCCATATTTTTTATATTTAATTTCCCCCTCAACTACACTTTAAAACAATTTTTAACTTTTTAAAAAAAGCTTTGAGTTCCAAATTCTATCCCTCCCTACCCTCCGTCCTCTGTGAGACTGCAAGCAATCTGATATAGTTAATGCATGTGCAATCATGTAAAACATTTACATAATAGTCATTTTGTAGAAGATTCGAATAAGAAAAAATAAAGGAAGAAAGAAAAGAGAGAAGATCCCATGCTTCAGTCTGCATTCAGATAGTTTCAGTTCTTTCTCTGGAGGTGGATAGAATGCTTCATTGTGAATCCTTTGAGATTATCATTGCATTTTGGGAAAATCACTTTGTGACTATATGGAAGATAGAGTGGGGAGAAACTTAAGGCAGGGAAACCACCTAGGAGGCTATTGCAATAATCTAAGTGAAAAGTAATGCAAAGTAGGGTGGTGGCTATGTGGAGAGGAGAGGACACATGAAAGAAATGTAGAAATAGAAATGACAAAATTTGGGAAGTGGTTGGATATGTAGGGTGAGTGAGAGGGAGAAGCTGAGGATGGCACCACAGGTGCAAACTGGGGGACTGGGAGAATGGTGGTACCCTTGATAGTAATAGGAAAATTCAGAAGCAAAGTAGACTTGGGATGTGGGGGGTGGGATATGAGTTCTCTTTTGGACATATTGAGTTCAAGACATCTACGGAACATCTAGTTTGAAAAATCTCTTATGCAAGAGGAGATCTATTCTGATGAGACAAAGTAGGATTGGATATGGTGAAATTAAAAATTAGAGGAAGATGGTGATCATAGTGGGTCAATCATCTGAAAAAGATCGTATGGGATGGAATAAAAGGCATAAATAGTAAGGCTAGGATTCACATGGAGAAGGGTCACCTCTTTATCAGAGAATGGAGCAAAGGAAGAAAATGGGAAGCAATGTCAAGGGGGTTTTATATGCAGAACAGGGGAGTAGAGAGAGTTCATGAATAGCCTCTTTCTCAGCAAAGTATGAAGAGAGGTTCTTTGCTGAGAGAAAGGGCAAAGGAAAAATGTGTGGAAAGTTTGAGCAAAGAAACAAAGGTTTGGAACAATCACGGTGAGGGCTTAATTGGGGAAAAGTAAAGTGATTGCATCTCAGCTGTAAGAACTTACAAAATTGAACAGATAACATATATTTGTGATGGCCTTATGGCACTGTTCAGGAGCAGCATGCATGTAGGAGCTAAGAAGGTGGAGGTTGTGTAGTGTTGGGGTTTTGTAAGGGAAACAACAGTCTAGAGTGGAAAGAGAATTCAAAGGACTTAGGTTCAAATTCTGACTCAGATTGTGTGACCTTTTTCAAGTCACTTCAGGCTCTGTTTCCTCATCTATAGAATGAGGGGATTAAGACTAAATGACTTAAGATTCCTTCCAGTTCTAAACCCATAATCCTCTATTAAAACATAAATGGCAATCAGATTAAGGAGGTAAGGGATATAAATGAATCATTATGTTCTAAGTCCCTTAAGGGCATCAACTGTGTCTTTTTTTTAGGTTAATGTCCCCAGCACCTGGCCTTGCACATTAACAGTGGGCATTTAATAAATAAATTAATTAAATTAGATTGATTTAAGTTGAACTCTCCCTTCCAAGTATTGGATGAGATCTTTTTAGCTTATGAAACTTGGTGAATTACAGCCTGATCCAATAAAATATGCATATCACATCTCTTAAAAGTTAAAGGGAGCTGATAAGAATTTTATAGAAAAATTCTCTGCTAATATGCATATTGTTTAAGTATATTAGAACAACATAAATACACAAATGTGAAAATACTGTGCTTATCAGTTGTCACAGATTAGCTCCAAAACTCAGATTTGAAGGCTCCCTTATGATTGCATGGGAAAAGCTATACATCTCGCTGAGAGAGTTTAAATATGGCACTTTGCAATTCCCAGAGGTAACTCTTGTTAGTAGCTCCGAGGAGAGTGTGGGATAGAGTTGTCAAGTAGGAGAATTTTATGGGCAGATGTACCAATGACAGGAAGATGCTATTTAGTGGGAAAAGGCAAGGAATAAAATGAAATTTTAAAAATATGTATGTGTACTTCTTAATCTAGAAATTATTTTTAGAATAGGTTTTATATTTAATTTTTATCTGTTGGTTTTTGGTTGAAATTTAGTTCTAGGGAACCAGAGATCATAATAGCTATCTGGAAATAAAAATGAAAAATGACTTAGTCTCTCAAAACTATGTGTAATAAAAAACTTTCATAGTGAAGTGAAAATTGCATGATTTCCGTACAAACATTTAAGTTGATTGACTTCATTTATTCATTCAACAAGCAATTATTAAGTACCTATTATATACAAGCCACTTGGCTCAAGTCCTAGAGTTATAAAGGCAAAACTAAAGCAGTCTCTGCCCTCCAGGACCTTGGATTCTACCAGGGAAGTAGTATGTGCAGAGATAAACGAGTACAGATCTTACAAGATTTTGACTATTGATTCTGATTCTTCAACAGTGCTCTTTTGTAACCCTTGGAGAGAAATACGCAAAGGGAGGATGTTTCAAAGGATGGTGAAAGGGTTTTCCAGAGTTATTTTTTTTTGAGAACCTAAAGGGGGAAATCAGAGTGCTTAAAGTGATGCTAATAAATCCTTTCATTTGCTGTTCATATGAGCCCTCATTCTTTTAGTAAGATTAGCTTAATGCTAATAAAAGACAAAGTTGATTTCCAACCTCAATTCCTCCTTCTAGTAGGAATTTGAAATCAACCTATCTTTTTACTTATCAGTGGAAAGCAAATGGAATTTCATTTTGGTGATTTTAAATTGGATCTTTATTGTATTTTCATGGTTGATCAGTATATAACTAGACTTGACTAATATCTTGCAAAATTTATTATGTATAATAGAATCCAGTAAGTTCCAGACAATCTTTTTGATAGATAAGACAATGATATCAAATCCAGTTCTTCCTTTTGAAGCAAAACTTGCACAGATGGAAAAGGGTGCCCATTCCCAGTGCCATGATGGCATTAGATCTTCTCTATTTCCCTGTGGTGGGTATGTACTATATTGCACTTATGAAAAAACCACTATTTCATAGTGATAGTCAATGTTTATTTCCCTGTCCAGCAGCTACTTGCCCATAGTGGTGAATTTTTTTTTTTAAATGTAGTTGGCCAGAAACTCTTACCTTACCTTTTCAGTTATCTCTTTTGGGTGTGCCTTCACCACTCACACTGAACTGTATGTACTGTGTATTGTAGAGGTGTGCAGTTAAAAATACGTTTACGCTTGGAAATATTTTAAAAATATTTTAAAATGTTTTCCTTTGCAGAATCAGACACAAGTTTGGCAGAAGGAAGTGTCAGCTGCTTAGATGAAAGTCTTGGACATAACAGCAACATGGGCAGTGTTTCAGGCACCATGGGAAGTGATTCAGGTACCGCATAACTGTTGTGTAAACCTTAAAAAGTGTGAAATAAGACAACATATAGTAGCAAGAGTGGGGCTGCTGCTTATACCCTACTTAGTGTATTTATGGAAGTGAAACAATTCTTTTTCACTGTGAGGTCGTTTTGGAACTTTGCCATGTACCTTCTTTTGAAGTGTAACCTACAAAAGTCTTTCAGAACTAAATAATCTAATTTAGATTCAGAACCTGTCTTTTTGGTCTGGCACATTCTAAATTCCATAGAGTCATGGCTATTTTATTTATGAAATCTGTTATAATTTAATTTAATGCTTTTGGATGCTGTATTCCTTTTTGTACATGTGCCCAAATGCCCAGGGGCATATTTTTAATCCAAGAATTAATAAAGAATTGGCTAATGAGAGTCAAAATGTATGTGGTTTTGTAGATAATAATATAATAAAAATCCATATTCAAAAAGGATGCGTAGAAAGGAAAAAGAGCTTCATTCCTTTGTAAATATTGCTGGAAAAGAAACAAGAATTACAAATGATTTAGTCAGTTGGTATAGGGGAAAAAATTGTAAAGGCTTGTGTGAAGACCACTGGTAAAATTTGTCCACTGTTCCTGTTTTGGAGTTAGGAAAGTGGCCACATTAGAAATGAAATATTCCAATCCTTCTTTATTCTAAGAAGCTGTGTATATTTGGGAGTTCCTTGCCAAGCACTCAAAAGAATCCCATAAATACAAAACTGAAGGGATTTTCAGAGAAATCACAGAAATACTGAACTGAAGAAGCAACATTTAGAATCATCCCAGAAAGACAATTGTACATCTTTCTTAAAGATATCAAGAGGAGATTCATACTCTCTTTTGATCATGTTTCATTCCTCATAGTACTGCCTCTAAAATCACAATAGGGGAAATTGTTGTTTTGAATATCAAACTATGTATAATAATTTAAAGTCATCTTTATTTTCAATTAAAAAGAATTTAGTTTGGTATTTTTTATTTAATATTTACTATGTCCTTTCCCTGTGGAAGGAGATATGATGGTGAAATAAACTTGGAGCTGGGAAGAAAGCAAATCCTGCCTTTGGCACATACCTATATGACTTGGGCAAGTAGCAACCTCAATTTTTTTATCTATAAAATGGGGCTGATATTACTTTTACTACCTACCTCACATCAAGGGGACTTAAATATAAGTTATTATTATTGCTTATTTAAGATTATTATTAGATAAAATTAGATAAAAGAGTACTGTCATAGGAGAGCTGGCCCTAGAAGCAAGAAAAGCTTGATTGGAATCTCACCTCTGACACATACTGGCTCTGACCCTAGGCGAGTTGCCTAGGGTCTTAGTGCTCTGGTCAGCTCTGTGATTTGAAGAGTTGGTGCCAACCTACATTGGTAAATGGAATTTGCACACCTGAGAGGTCTCTCTACCAATGAAATAGCATAGAAATTAGGTATTTAGTCATATATTTTAAGTACCCACCATCAGAAATTGAGGTTGGTACTTCCCAGATCACCCTACTAATAAATGTCAAAGTGCTAAAAGAGGGAGGAAAAAAAAAAAAAAGATTGTTTCAGGAATATGGGAAGATCACTTCCATTGGAAAGGTTTTCAAGGAAAATAAAATAATCAAGTGAAATAGTGATATGGGGAGTAGATCTCAGGAAGCTTCCTGGTGGATTAAATAAGGAAAGAAAGGATATAATACAGGGTATCCCAAAAGTCTGTGCAGATTTCAACTATTAAAGCTATGTAAACTGCACTATGATTTTTGGGACCCCCTGTATATTAGAGTATGATAATATCTAGGTCAGTTAGGTTGTTAACAAGGGTAAATGAAGTAGGTCATTGGCAGGTTGAATGGGCACATTTATTAGGGATAACAGTGGGAACAATTTGTTTTGGAAGGAGTTATGTAGAACTAATTAGCTCAGGATTTCATGGACCTCTATAAACTTTATTCACTAGGTAGTAGGCCTGCCATGATGGTTTAATAAAGAAAATAATTTAAGATCTTACCAAATGCTGTTCATGTTAAATAACAAGCCTAATTTCCAGCTAGATTTCACAGTGAAGTATATTAAGTACCTTCATGGACTGTGATTCTCATTAGGCTTTTGATTCTTAGCCTTATTATTATTTATCTAAGTAAGGATTCTTCAACAGCATTCAATCATTCACTCAAGAAATCTTTACTATGCATTTTATAGTATTCAAGGTAGTCTCCTAGATGACTTAGAGATATTAAGAAGTTTTTGATGAATTTTTTTGTTCTGAAATGCAAGACTTGTTAAATTCAATCAGAAACATGCTTATAATATGCAAATTAGTCAGCTAACAATCATTTATTAAATAACCGCTATGTGTAGGCACTATGCTAAGTACTGGGGATACAAAGAAAGGCAAAAACAGTTCCTGCTCTAAAGAATTCACACTCTAATTGTGGGGATGGCAAAAGAATAACCTGCAAATTCTTAACATTTGCTATTTTTTCCCCTTACTTCAGACATGAATTGGGGTTTAAGCCATGGCAATAAAGACACACGTTCATAGGTGCTACACTTTTGTTTTTATTTAGATAACAATATCCTAGATTTAGAATGAGGAGGAACTTTAGAAATAATTAATCACATTCCCAGCCTACCTTATTTTTCAAGCAAGTTTCTTTGGTGACATACTTTATTTGCTTTGGTTCATCTTTAGAGTTCCTTGTTTGTTATATGTTGCAGCCTGCTCGTACATATCATGTGCCCCTCCGTTGACTATTAGGTGATACTAATTTTTAATTAATTCCTAAGAGACTCCAGTGTTCCATGACCCGTAGCCAAATAACAACCCTGGTAAAATATTGCTTTTAAAAAGATGAGTCTTTGTTTTGGGGAGAAGTTTGAGGCTATGAAAGGAACTTTGCAGTTCACTGAAAGCAAACTATCCCATTCTCCTCTTACTTAGTTCTGGACTTAACTATTTTCATCCACTTTACTATTTGTTCAAAATATTTACACTGATGGATGATCTCTATAGTCCATCTAACTGCATGTCATCATCTGGACAGTAGATATTCGTCATCCACTTGACTTTTTCTGTGCAAAGGATCAGGCTAAAACTCTTCAGTCATTATGAGTCTTTACAGTTTACCAGGGCTTGATGCAAAAAGCAGTATAATCTGAAAAGAGGAGCATTTGGGGGACCTCATTGTCCAGAAGAAATCTCTCTTCAACTTGGACTCTGGACTGCATCTCCTTCATGACAGGGACAAACACATTTGGCAGGCATAAATCTCTTTGTTTTATCATAGCTTGATATTTTACAATCAAGGAGTCATCAAACAAGGTTATCTCTGCTATACCTCTCGAGAAATCTTGAACAATTTTAATGTATCAATGGAAGACACCTTGTTGGAAGATAGCCTTTAAGACAGTGTTTTTCCGTATGGAATAAAATGCCTTTTTAATGATAAAAATAGCATAGTGAGATTTTGTATCTTAGGCATCATCCAGTCACTTGTATAATGATATATGTATGGCACATAATGGAACTTTGTATGCAATATATCTGTCCCCTCCTAATACCCACATTGAGGAGGTGCTTGATATATTTCCAGAAAAATTATATACAGATTAGAAAATAGTTTATTATAAAAAAGTAGACATTTAGTACAATCGTAATTGTTCTCTTGGTTGCCTTTTTGGTACTAATATGATCTAAGATTTTTGTTTATGCTTTTTAGCATCTTCCCCTCTTTCAGATACCTCGGGTAGCAATCCCTCAATATCTTCACAATTGTGTTGCCTCAAGCAGGGTTCTCTTCTAAGAACACTAGTCTAATCCAGCTGCTTTTCCCATGCTTGTGGGGTGTTTTTATACCATTTCTTCCATTTGTATCATTTCTATCTCCTCTTTAAGCACATCAGGGACCATGATGTTAGACACTAGATTTGTTGGCTGACTTGTTCTTGATGGTTAAAAAGAAGGTTTGTTACAAAGTCTTCACAGATCTTTTCCATTTTTCTTTTGTTTGCTGTTGTCATTACATTTTCATCCTTAAATTTCCTTGGATGACTTTTTTTTTAGTTGGATCTGTTCCCAAGCTTTCTTCAAATTGGTTTACCCTTTGTTTTTCTTCATTTTATTAGGTAATGATGTTCATAATCTGTCATCTTTCTTTGTGAGATTTTATGAACGAATTTATATTTAAACCCATATTCCCTATGGCAGCAATATTTTCTGCTTGAGACGTGAAATGTTTGATTTTTATAAAGATACTTTTTAGGCCTTTTTGGTTTGTGTTTTGGGGGGTTTTTTGACAACTGATTTACATCGTTTAAAATATTATATTCAGATACTATATAATTGTCTGTGCCTATATCCTTTTCTCCATATCCCATCTCATTTGAGTAGTTCTGGACTGATTTGTTTCAGTTATGTACCATATCTTTTTTCTGATTTTTATTCTTTCTTCTAATTTGTACTGATTTTGATATTTCTTTTAACAATTTGGTGTTTGGTATACACAGTTGATTCAGTAATGATTCCATATCAGTGATTTTCAGTTTATTAAAATATTATCATTTTTTCAATGTTAATTGGTTCTTTCTATGTCTAGTGCCTACTGATTCTCTCTTTGAAGAAGATATGCAGGCATGCGGCTTCTATGAGTATTAGGCTTCTTTAATTCCTTGTTTTTTCTGTGTATTTTCCAATATATTTTACATCATCTTTGTTTATTCTCACCTTTGTATTGAAGTTGTTGAGCATCGGGTTATATATTGATATAATTTAAAGCATCTTATTAAGCTCTTTCTTATAATCTTGCTACTTCTTCATCCTCCAAAGCCAATGTCAGTGAATTAAAAAAAACTTTTCATAAGTAGTCAAGCTAGATGATACAGAGGACAGAGTACTATCCTTAGAGTCAAGAACACCTGATTTTAAATTTTGCCTTAACCACTTACTAGCTGTGTGTGACCCTGAGCAAGTCAGTTAACTTCTCTAGACTTCAGTTTCTTCATCTGTAATATAGTATAATAATAGCACCTATTGTGTGGGTTGTTGTGAGGATCAAATGAGATATTTGTAAAGTTCTTTATAAACCTTGAAGCATACATAAGTTTAGCTATTATTGTTGTTATTATATGCTCATCAATAAGAGATGACTAAATGTCCTATGAAATATTTCTTGTTGTATTTGAGCACAGAGTAAAGTCAGCTATGTCAGTTCTTTTATTTGCCTGTCCAAGGAGAAAGTATAAGCCATTTTTCCTTTTGGCTGCCACTTTTTTCCTTCTGGTTTAATTTATAGCAAGAATATAAAGATAAAATAATTTAGTTCCTTCAGTCATGTGCTGGCACACCCTGAGAGAGAATTCTCATTGTCTTTTCATCTTCCCCAAAAGTGCTAGCCCTCTTGACCCATTCTCCATGCATGCCTAGCTAGGAGCAAGCATGTCACATTTAGAATACCAACACAGTAGAAAAAATTTAGATAATATCGAAGCAATGTGATTCTAAGCAACCTATCCTATCCCCTTTCCCTGACACTGGCACCATCACTACAAGAAGCAAAAGGTTAACCACACAGCACTGAGGTTTATTTATATTTCATAGATTTTATAGGCCAAAAAATTTCATCACCAAATGGCCAGTGGACTCAGTCTGTTGCCGGGACTGTACTCAAAGTCTTTCTAACATGGTAGAAGCTACCAGAATTTTCACTCTTTGAGGAATCTTTGAGAACCCCAGTTCACCCCCAAGATGAGGCATCAGAGTAGGATTTAGTGAGGACTTATTCATATCTATGTGTATCATACCCCAGAACTGTATAACCAGTTGATCTTTTGTAAAGGTAATTTAAAGATTTCTAGTCACACGTAACAATTTTTTTCTTATTCATATTGAGTTAAAATGATTCTCACAAAATGTTAATATTTTTAGCATTAAATATTTGCTTAATATGTAACTATTATTCCCCATAGATTTGTAGATAATACATTTCAGCCTGTCCAGCTGGAATGGTGTACTTTTCCATCATTACTTATTTTAGGTGGAGTTATGCTTTTTGGATTTCTAACACATGCAGTGACAGACCTTTTTTCTTCAAGAATAACTCAGCTGTCAAAATCAACTTGAGGCTGAAATTTGCCACATGGTGTGGTTCCAGTCGCATATTATTATTTAAAGAATATTTTATTTTAATTTGGACATTTACAAACTATAGAATTCTTAAAAGTAAGATGATTTTTGTGTTTTTAGACTCAATATTTGTTGTAGGGAGAGGATATTTTCAAAATCTTTGCCCATTTAAAATGTCATTTTCATTAATTGATCTCACTTTCTTGAAGGGAATAAAATGTATTTTTTAAAAAAAAACATCCACAATAAAACAAAATTCAAACAGTGATTTTTTTTTTAAATGGAAACTGGTTACTAGCTTGGTTAAATGAAAATCAGCTCAATTCTCTCCTTGTAACCACAAAAGGATGAAAACTCTTCCATTGTTGATTATGTAGAGAAATTCTTTTTTACTCACCTAAGGAAATATGATATGGTAAGAATCAAGCTGACCAGTTGGCAGTTACTAAGTAAGCAGGGCTTTTCACTTGGGTTTTCTATAAACATTAAATACACCTCTCATGCCTGCCTCCTCTATTTGCGCTTATCCGTCAAATTTCATAGTCTTCAAAGGGACTATAATAAATGGAAGAGTTATATAAAAATCATGAATGAGACTTAAACCTGACTACTTGAGCAGTAAAAAAAATCCACCTTGATTGGTTTATAGAATTTATAATAAACAACAGGATCATATAATGTTAAAATTAGAAAAGGACCTGAGAAACTGAACAGTTGGGCAAGTCGCATAACTTTCTTTGAGACCGAATTTCATCTATAAAATATGTGGGGTTGAACTCAACGCTCTCCAAGTTCTGTTCCTCCAATCACATTCTATATCAAAATGATCTATGCTCCATTCTGGGAAAGAAGACTTATAAAGTCACTGTGTCTTTCTCTGAATCTTAATATCCACAGATAGGGTAGCATGAGTTGGGTAGGAAGAGTGGAAGACAACAGGAGGAACAATTTTATAAATAAATTTTAAAATACATGTAACTATTTTGATGGAAGCAGCATTTTTTTAATCTGTGCAAAAATGTATGCAGATTGAAATAAAACAAAAGAGAACTGATCTTGTTGATACCTTTTAACAAACTGTCTAGCTCAAACAGCAAATTAGCAAAAGTAAATACACTGATCTTGAAGTTAAACACTGCTTAAAATATATCTTCTCTTACAAATGTACTAACTAGTTCTTATGCAAAAAGTATTTTTAAAAAGTGATGAATGTAGTTAAAATAAGTGAAATGTTAGTATTTTAGTGATCTATAAAGAGTCTTTTTTGAAGAAGTAATGGTGTTCTTGGATAAGGGTTCACCTTAATGTAAATAATTTAAATGAATTATTAATAATTGTTAACTAACTGCAAAATAAGCATAAAAAGAACTCAAAATATAGCATTTTAAAGTCTGGTGGGCTAGAATGAGAATTTGATGATACTGAAATTAAATGAATCAGACAGATGATCCAATGTTAGTTTAAATGTAATGCATCTGTTTGTATTCATTCATACAGAAGGCAAACTTCCTGCAGGGTTAGTAGATGACTATTACTAAGCACTGTTTGGTGTGAATTTTCCTACCGTTCAAATAGTACTATCAAAATAAGTTAAAATACATTTTGAAATGGAACCATCAGCAACTTTTTTTTTTTGGATGCTAATGGAGTCTCTTTGGTTTTATTGGAGTCATTGGTAGTAGAAAGTGAGAGCTTATTGAATATGTAATGTAATACTGATAAGTCCTACAATTTCATTTTTCTCTAGAGATTTCATAAAACTTTGGATGGATTTTTATTTAACTTGGAACAGTATTAACTTCATCTCAGTGAGGCTATTTTTTTCTTTGAGAATTAGTACATAAATAGATTCAGTATTAACAATTGTTAAACTCAGATGGTCTTTAAAACTTTCTAGAGGGAATGATATTGAAATAATTTTTTGACCCAAAGCTCCTTTTTTTTTTCCAATCTCGTAAATGCAAACTGAGAGCAGAAACTCCATCTGTGAGGCAGAGCAAGAAAAGGTTTGAATTAGACTGTACACAAAAAGGAATATGGGAGATAAGGCCCATATCTCATTCAGTGTTTACTAGTATACCTCATTGACCCTTCTTTTTTTCTCTCCCCTCTCTGCCCCTCCCCAATTTAATTCAGACCAAGATGATGAGAAGAAAAGAGCATTTCCTGAGCCGGAACTGGTCCTCAGGTCCTACCAAATGGAAGTGGCCAAACCAGCTTTAGAAGGGAAGAATATTATTATATGCCTCCCTACAGGAAGTGGGAAAACAAGAGTAGCCGTTTACATTGCCAAGGATCACTTAGATAAGAAGAAAAAAGCATCAGAGCCTGGAAAAGTAATGGTGCTTGTGAATAAGGTATATAAGCCACATCTAAATACTGGTTTTACTTTTTTGTTTTGTTATTCTAACACATTTAAGCCTCACAACAGTTGTTGTAACAATAAATCACACAAGAAGTTTAATTAAAGAGGTACTGTCATTTCTCACCTTATACCTGAAGTTATACATAACAGCTAACTTGTCATCCCCCTAAAATTTCTCTTAATGCCCAAAACTCACATTTTAATGGTTGTGACTTATGAATGTATAATGCATTTTCCTTGAGACTACTTAAGGTTAATTTGTGCTAGTAGAAATTACCATAACATATTAACACTGATGATCCCAATGGAGGAAACAGAAATCTGAAATTATGTACTTTTTTTTTTGGATGGACGATTAACTCTATGTGCCCTTGAGCACAATGTGTATGGAAAGGAGAAAAATATTACATTGCGTATGCAAAGGTTTGGGAATAGAGCATCCTGGCTTACGGAAGATTGATTAACTACAGGTTATATGTGACATGCATGGTTTATCAATTGAGTAATTTTATAATTCAGAAAGCAAAACAGTATATCTTTTATAATATATTAGGGGAAAACATACTTATTTTAACTTTTTTTGTTTGTCTATCAGGTAAATTACAATTTATTGCATATAGCCTCCTTCAAGTGGCTAGACTAAGTTAGAGATATCAAACCTGTAGCCTAAAAACTCATAAGTGTGGCCCAAACCAGATTAAAATATAATTGGAAAATATTTAACAAAATAAATAAAATTACTTGACAGCATAGATAAAATGTAAATTTATTATTTTCTAAGTCAATATGCAGCCCACAGAGATCTGTTTCTATTTGAGTGTGGTATTATAAGACTAGGTAATGTCTAAGGTCCCTCCCAATTCTTAAATTCAGTAATTCAAAGATTCTCAGTATCCATCATTTTCCATACTACAAACTGGAGATAGTAATTTAATATTGATGTACAATATTTCAATGGCTCCATGATCTCATGGATGTCCACAGTGTGGTTTGCAACCCATCCAAACCTCATACTGCGTAGTTCTTGTCAGTGCCCTTTCCATCTTCCTTTCATTAAAAGGAGCTTTCCAGTGTCCTTCCTCCAGGTCTTTTAGGATTATATAGTTACCAGGGTAGCACTTCAATCCTCCATATGTTATGCCTTTTTCTCATTAAGGGACTGATTCACCTTGTTTTTTTAATCACTTATTCCTTGGGTATCTTTTATTCTCCTATGCCTCATTGGCTATATGTTATAGTCAACTTAATGCCACCTGTGTGTATCTCCAGTGCCTTACAATTTAAATTCTTTGGAAGTTGTGATCAACAACCATATGATATCACCATATTGTATTCCCGGTAGAATCTTGGTGTTAAAAAAGATGGTTCTTTTTGTCAGGGAGCCACTTGAGGTCATTAAAAATACTGTTCTATTTCCCATATGCACAATGTAAGTCATTTACATTCCCAATGTAAAATGAAGCATTTTTGTGAGAAACATAATTTTCCTATCCAGTCTTTGAGATCGTTAATATATATATATATATATATATATATATCTCTGTGAAATGTAGCATCAACATTTTCCTTATATAAAAAAATCTTATATAACCTTTTAAATAACTGCTACTGCAATTAAAACTTTAAAATGAGAAATACTTTTCAATGCTAAAGTAAACATATATCCAGAAAAAATGTAGTAAAAACCCAAATTTTTATGTCATTTCCATTATGTGGCTCACAATGTATTTTGTACATGACATCTTTTTATAAGGAGTTCTTTATACAAAAAATCGTATGGGCATATGGTTTGATTTTTGTTTTTGGTTTTGCTTTTTTTTCCTCCCAGTAAGAGTGACATATTTGTGCTACTCCATTTACAATCTCTCACTTGGTCCCCCTTTATGACTAATGACCTATAGGAAGAGCAAGAGGTGCAGTCTGTGGCCTTAAAAAAAGATAAAAGCTAACTAGAACTTAACACTATTACTTTGAGATATCTTGGTAGTGCTATGCTACAAATTCCATCAACATGACATTATTGAAAGTAAAACTACATTCAGTCTAAATTAGACTGCATCATATTCTTTTTTTTAAATTTAATTTATTTTTTGTTACCTTTTAAGTTCCACGCTATCTTCTTTCCTCCTTCTCCACCCCACTCTAGAGAAGGCTACCATTTGACACAGACAGATGGATAGATAGGTAGGTAGCTAGATAAATAGATGATAGATAAATGGATAGATAGATAGATAGATACATATAAAACCATATTATGCATGTGTCTATTTATCAAGTTCTTTCTCTTTAGGTAGATAGCATCTTCTTTCTTGGGTCCTTTGTAGTGATTTATCAATTGGGGAATGACTTGTATTCTTATAAATTTGACTTAATTCTCTATATATTTTAGAAATGAGGCCCTTATCAGAGACTGGTTGTAAAAATTCTTTCCCAATTTTCTACCTTCCTTCTAATCTTGGTTGCATTTGCTTTGTTTGAGCAAAAACTTTTCAATTTAATGTAATCAAAGTTATCCATTTTGCTTTTCATAATGTTCTCTATCTCCTGTTTGGTCATGAATTCTTCTGTTCTCCATAAATCTGATAAGTAAACTATTCCTTGCTCTCTTAGTTTGCTTACGGTATCAGCCTTTATATCTAAATCATGGGCCCATTTTGACTTTATTTTGGTATATGGTGGAAGATTTTGATCTATGCCTAATTTCTGCCATACTCTTTTCCAGTTTTCCTAGCAGTTTTTGTCAAAGAGTGAATTCTTATCCCAAAAGCTGGAGCCTTGTACAAAATCTTTCTCATTTAATGTAATCAAATTATCATCTTGCATCTCACAATGCTCTCCATCTCTTGTTTACTCACAAATTCTTCTCCTGTTCATAAGTCTACTAGGTAACATATTCCATGTTTTTCTAATTTACTTATGATATTTCCCTTTATATCTTGATCATGTATCCATTTTGAACTTATCTTGGAAAATGGTGTAAGATATTGATCTATACCCAATTTCTGCCATAATGCTTCTAGTTTTCTCAAAAATTCTTACCAAATAGTGAATTTTTGTCTCAAAAGCTTAAATCTTTACATCTATCAAACGTAAGGTTACTATAATCATTTACTACTGTCTGTTGTATGTCTACTCCGTTCTACTGATCTACCTTTCTTAGTCAGCATCAGATAGTTTTGATTACTGCTTTAAAATATAGTTTAAGATCTGCTAAACTAAGAACTGCTAAACCTCTTCCTTTACTTTTTTTCATTAATTCCTTTGATGTTCTTGACCTTTTGTTCCTTCAGTGAATTTTGTTATTATTTTTCCTAGCTTAATAAAATAGCTTTTTTTTGGTAATTTAATTGGGATAGCATTAAATAAGTAGTTTAGTTTCAGTAGAATTGTCATTTTTATTACATTAGCTCTGCCCACCCATGAAAAATTAATATTTCTCAGATTATTTAAATCTGACTTTATTTGTATACAAATGTTTTATAATTATGCTCATGTAGTTCCTGGATGTATCTTGGCAGATATACTCCTAGGTATTTCATGCTGTCTACAGTTATTTTAAATCAGATATCTCTTAATATCTCTTCTTTCAGGGTTTTGTTGGTGATATATAGACAGTGCTGATTAATGTGGGTTTATTTTATATCCTGCTTTTTTGCTAAAATTATTTATTGTTTCAACTAACTTTTCAGTTGAATCTCTATGATTTTCCAAGTATATCATCATATCGTGTGCAAAAAGATGGTTTTATTACCTTGTTGCCCATTCTGATTCCTTCATTTTCTTTTCTTCTCTTATTGCTATTGCTAGCAATAGCTATTTTGCTAATAAAATGTGATAACATATCATATTATTATATAATATATACTTATATATTATATACATATATATAATTACATAATAACAATATAATTGCTAATACAATACTGAGTAACATTATTGATAATGGACATTTTTGTTTCGCTCCTGATCTTATGGGGAAGGCTTATCCCCATTACAAATAATGCTTGCTGATGATTTTAGGTAGATGTTTCTTATCCTTTTAAGGAAAAATCCATTTATACCTATGCTTTTTAGTGTTTTTTAAAAGGAATGAGTGTTGTAATTTGTCAAAAGCTTTTTCTACATCTATTGAGATAATCATGTGATTTATATTACTTTTGTTATTGATATAATCAGTTATATTAATAGTTTTCCTGTTAAAACCATCTCTGCATTCCTGGTGTAAATCTCACTTGGTCACAATGTATAATCTTTGTTATATATCATTGTAGTCTCCTAGCTAGTGTTTTATTTAGGATTTTTGCATCCATATTCATTAGTGAAATTGGTCTATAGTTTTCTTGTTTTTGCTCTTCCTCATTTAGGTATCAGCACAGTATTTGTTTCATAAAAGGAGTTTGGTAGTACTCTTTTGCTAATTATTCCAAGTAATTTATTTAATATTAGAATTAGTTGATCTTTAAATGGTTGGTAGAATTCCCTTGTAAATTCATCTGGTTCTGATTTTTTTTCATTGGAAGCTCAACTATAGCCTGTTCAATTTCTTTTTCTAAAATAGGTTTATTTAGATACTCTATTTCTTCTTCTGTTAATATAGGAAGTTTATATTTTGCTTAAATCATTAAATTTGTTAGCATATAATTGGGCAAAATAATGCCTACTAATTGTTTTTGATTTCATCTTCTTTAGCGATATATTTATCCCTTTCATTTTAGATACTAGTGATTTAGTTTTCTTCTCTCTTTTTAAAAATCCTGTTAACCATTTATTTATTGGTTTTTTTCATAAAACTAACTCCTACTTTTATTTATTAATTCAATGGTTTTCTTAATTCAGTTTTATTAATCTCACTTTTAATTTTTACAATTTTCAATTTGGTTTTTAATTGGGGGTTTTTTATTTGTTCTTTTCTAGTAATTTTTTAAAAAATTGCTTACTCAATTCATTGATCTGTTCTTTCCCTATTTTGTTGATGTAAACATTTAGAGATAC